TGAGCCGGGATCGTAAAGAGCGTACTGTGAGTAGGAAGTGGAATTGATACAATGAATTTAGAAGCATCAAACCTCTCTTGTCCGAAAGAATCGAAACACATAGAAATAGTACCAGCCGTACTTAAGAATGGAAGAATTTGACAGAAATATGTCAAATTGTCCCTCCTAAAAGGATTATTCCGAAAAAAATGGGCAAGAGTTAGGAGAGGTGTGCCAACGGTGAGCAGAAGCATGGTTATTAGATACCGAAGGAACCCCAGCCAGGACCACATGTGCAAGTTTCCCTGCATGTGGCTCGTCCGTGATAACTTCTTCGGATTTGCATGAACTAATGGACCGATCACAAAGTGGGATGCTCCCTCTCGCATGAGCGAACCTTTTTGTAACTGGTGAGAAATGGGTGCCACTACCCCAGCCCAGATCCTGCCAGTCTTTCTCATGTCCCTTCCAAAAGAGTGAGAGAGACCCCTACTATTTTTTAATTGATTTTTGTGAGAAAGATTGCCGCAAAGAGAGAAGCAGAAAAGTCCCTTAGTGGGGAGGAGAGAGAGTGTATGAGTGAATGAGTGAGAGAGACCCTTGCTACTTTTTATTAATTGATTTTTGTGAGAGAGACTGATGCAAAGAGAGAAAGAGAAATCCCCTGACAGGGAGAAGAGAGAGACAAACTCCATGACAAGGGGAGACACAAAGAAGCCACCTCGAGGGGAGAGAGAGAGCGAGCTAGAGAGCATACCTTTCGAGTGGTTGGATCATTGGGGAGAGAGAGACCGATAAGAGAGAGATAGAGAGAGGGTGGGGTGTGGGAGACAGAACTAGGGCAAATGGGGGCAAGGGGTTTATTAATAGCGAGAGATAGAGAGATAAAGAGAGAGGGTGGGTGTGGGCAGTTTTAAGAGAGAGAGAATAACGTACCACATTAAATAGGAGGCGAGGGTACTAACAATGTACAATAGGCATTAAATGGGGAAAATTTTGAAACAAGTTGATCCATCTATGTAAAAAGTCATGTACGATCAGGCTGTTGGGTGTGCCCATGTTCTATAAGCCCATGGAGTATTGGATCTTATATATATATATATATGTATGTGTGTGTGTGTGTGTATCTGTGTGTGTGTATGTGTGTATATCGATGTCTCGATTTTGTATCGGTTTTTTGGGTTGGCATACTAGATACTCACTTCTTGTATTAAATACGACACGTGTTGGCGTCCATAATAGAATGGGGTAATGAGGAAGGGGATAAGTTAAACCATGGGTTGGGCCACTTGCAAGGTTATTGGGGGAGAGAAGTAGCTTGTGTAAAATCTGTTAGGAAGGCAAAGTTATTGGGTTAAATGAGGTTTGGATTTGAGGAAGGGATTTAAAAAAGGAGGACTACAACGCATGGGGTTTGATAAAAAGTGGTGGGGAAAGGTTAGAAGATGTGGGTTAGTTCATGGTAGCAGAATCCTGGTCAGTGTAAGAGGCTTGAGCAAGCGTTGCTTCCTACTTATTTCGAGTTTGTTCTTAGTCTTGAAAGAACCTAACGAGCTTTCGTAGAAGTTTATGATGAAGTTCTTGTGAACTTGCATCACGTGGCTCAACCAGGCTCCAGTCACTCTTTCCAAAGCAATGGCTCAGTTGTGGAATAGTTGAATGACTGAGTGGCTTTGGCCCATGCATCTTGGAGGGAGAGGAGGCAATCCATGCATAACCCACAACTCAAACTTCAATGAGGAAGTTTTTGTCATGGTGATTTTCCTGGATTACTTATATTGGAGTGACCCCTTGGTATTTCCAATGTCTTCGATCCTTGCTAGTTGGCTCGAGGGTTTGTCTAATCCATATAGATGTGATCATGAGCATTGTATTGACCATCAAGTGAATGCTTACATGTAGTTATGACTAGCTAAACTATTTCCGCTTTATATCATTGATCTTAGAGTACGATCTTAGGAGAAATATCCCAAGGGGATTTGAGAAAAGGTTCTTAGGGCATGAGGATGATAAGCCGCCATAAGTAGCAAGGCAGTATTAGAGCATGAGGATGTCAATCTTACGCGCTAAGAAATTGAATTTGAAAAAATGTTTATGAAATACAAAATGTCAAATATTGATGGTTGTTGGGGTCACATTGTTGGGGTTATGTGGCCATTTAAATACATTATGAGAGCATGTAAAATTATGACTATCATGATGTGATAGCTCCAATGGGAGCGTGGTCCGGATTGACTATGTGGTGTGGTCTGGATGGACTCTGTGGCGTGGTCTAGATGGACTCTGTAGCATGGTCCAGGGTGGACTAAGAGGCAATAGAAATGCCAAAACTCACTTGAGCTTTAACTAGTTATTGCGTAAGGTGGTGTCTAAAACTCATAGCCTTGGGCATTTGAGTACAACCGATAAGAGTTTCGATGTGGAGTTATCCTTTTATGAGGTCGGAGTTGGGCAAGGGGACATAATGTGACCCATGTGTGTGATGGTTGGTTGGAGATGAAAATGGCCAAAATCCTCATCATTACCATCACATATCATGTACACTACATACATGTCGGAGAAGCGGCCTTTGGACAAGGCTGTGTGTTATACATATGTGCCAGAGAGATGACTCCCTACAACAGTGGACTATGTTGGAAGGACCCATGAAGTATAATGTTGGAATGGGGCCTAGACTTATCTTTAGGGAGGGACATATAACCATGGACTAGGATTGTGTCTCCTTCATTTATTGGCTTATTTTAATAGTTCAATCATGAACCCTTGTGAAAGGCTGTAGGTCATGAGAACTATTTGGTCAGTTTGAGAAGGTGTAGTGATATGTGGTTTCTAGAATGGATCAAGTCCTTAGTATACTTGTTATATTTCTAACTTTATAAATCCAATTCCTATGAAATCTTATTGAGTATGTTTAAGTATGTTTTAACTATATTTTAAATAACCAAAATAAATTTTTAGACCTCTGGGTATTTTATATTATTTGAAAAATAATTTTTAAATAAGGAAAAATTAATTTTCAAGATTCATTTTAATCATAGAGGGAACTAAAATATTTAATGGCTTTATAAAATTTATTTTAATATCCTAAAATGTTGTTTATTATGTTGGTGTCCCATTGGTATCTTTTGGGTCCACGACATGTGGGGGCATCCACAAGGGCCTCACATGAGTGGGGCGCCCACTTTTCTATTTTGGTGGCTTGTAGAAGAAGCCATGCACTTTGTTTTCTATTTTGGTGGCTTGTAGAAGAAGCCATGCACTTTGTTTGAAATGTATGGAAAGTGTTTTGCAGAGATTTTGATTGATTTAAAATGTGAAAGTGTAAGATAATAATTGAAATTGATTTGCATAAAGATAGTATTTTCTCTACCACAATATTTGATGGAAATAAATTTATGGAAATTGAAGGATAACAATTTCACCTCATTTCTTTTAGTTGTGATGGTTGATCTAAGTAATAAATAGATGAGATCTCTTCACCCGACAAGTCTCCAAGATCAAAGGCCAAGATTGAGTCTAATAATGATGATAAAATCCTAGCTCTAAAACCCTACCATTTATGTTATATATACTCTCTATGAGAAGCCTTATTTTATACACTTTAATTTCATGTCTCTCTTGCTGAACCATAGAGTTGGCACGCCCCTCTCTAATCTCTCTCTCTAATTTAGGGTTTGGGAAGAAAAATAAAGCATAAGGGAGTCGCACAAGAGGTGGTACACGATAGCCCATATGGTTTGAGTTATGCTAATGTATTGGGCCGTGGTCTAGCCTTTTCCCATGTCATGCTCTTTAGTGGTTTTCCCTAGGCTTCCCAAAGTTTTGAGACAAGTTTGGACCTAGATCTCATATGTAATGGTGGAGGAGACCCGATATGGGGTGTCTTAAGTCATTGGGAATAACTTGAGGCAATGTATGTAGTATTGTTTTATTTCATGCTTTCTTGGTTTTATTCCAAGCATTATGTGATTTATCAGATTCATGTTGGGAATGCATTTTATTTTGATAGCAAGTATGTGTGAGTCATTACCATTCTTTGTGTTTTATTAATTCATATATTGTATTTAGACACTGGTAAATGATTTGGATGATGGAAAGAAAGAAAAAGAAAAAAAAGTTTAAATCGGTGTGCACTTGCCCAAGTCAATGGGCAATGGGCTAGGCTTGCCCTCACCCTAGTCTCTATAGGGTTGGCCTGAGTCCAGTTTTGCTTGAAATGATTTGAAGAGGCTTTGGCCATGTGTTGGTCTTAGCATTGTTAGGGTTTGGCTAGGCATGGCGAAATAAGATAAAAAGTACACAAGCACTTCAGATATAGAACTAGGTTGCGTGGCTTGATACTAAAGAAAAAAAAAGCAAATATGTGGGGCCATGCATAAAGAAAAAGAAAAAAAAGAAAAAAGAGTCTAGCTGAGCTAAGCCATAATGAACTGGCCTATCGCAGCCTTGATAAAGCCACCCCGACCCTGTCGTCGGGCTGTGATGACCCTATCGTCGAGCCACATTTTATGGCTTTGGCTCTAATTTTTTTTTAAGGCCCAGCTGACCTGGTTGATGGGCCAAGATTTGCCCAACATCTGTTGAGATCACTGGTTTGCCCAAGACGTCCTGCATGCTAGTCTAAGGTAAAAGTTGACAATGGAAGCATTCTTTTTCGTTATCTGGAGGTAAACATGCAAGTAATATTGGAAATGCATGCATTAAACAATGCTTGAATCCAATCTCTCGCACTTACCAAACATAATTTAAAAAGATTAGGTCACCAAATCTCCAAATTTAACAAACAGACAAAATTTCGTACTCCTCAAAGGTCATCACCATCCATTGGGACAAAAGAACGTTGATCCTGCTCTCTCCACAGCAGTCCATCATTCCAACGATGGTGATGACCTAATCGCTGTACATTTTCCTACATCCTCGTGATACGGCATGGATTATGGATCCTCACTCGTGCGACCCTGCATCTTGGTCTTGGTTCGAGTCAACATTTGGTCACTTAAGCCCAAACCTAGGTTTAAATAGTCTTTCCCCCTGTGCCCTAAAAACCCTAGGCTTCGCTCTCTACTCTCCTGCGTTAAACTCGATGAAAGCTTTTCCTCTCTTTGTGTTTCTGCCTTAAACTCGATGAAAGCTTTCCCCTCTTTGTGTTTCCATTCATCTTCTGCTCAAAACCTTAGATTCTTCTATTGATTCATTTCAATCTATCGATTCTATTATTTCACTTCAATTGTCAGTGACATTAATTCGCAAGGGTGTTTTTGCGTTGTGATCGTTGTCCGTAGGGTTCTTTCCTTCTTCTTAAGGATTTTAGCCATGGATCTTCAGAGTCTGGTTGTTATCCTTCAAGGAGCGCTGAGCCCTAATCCTCATGAAAGAATTCAAGCAGAAGAGAGTCTCAATCAGGTTGGGTTTTGGTTCTGACTCTCTTTGGAAGTTTGATTGAGTTTCCTTATCAGGGCAATCGGGGAATGGGTTTAGGGCTCGGGAAATATGGTTATTGTTTGATGTTAAGTAAGAAGTTAAGTTCATGGGTCATGCTGGCCACGTTTTACTTTTGATTGTATTTGATTATTTTGTTTATTTCATTTTTTCCTGAGAAATGTTAACTTTTATATATATTGAGAGTATAATTTACCATAGATTTTGGATAGAAGGCATCGCATAGGCTGAAATTTGTTTCTTTTGTTATACATTTGTATTGTGACCATTTGAATCAGATTAAGGGTTTTGATTTATTCTCATGTTGTTTTTCTTAACCAATAATGTCACTTCATGTGTTTCGAGCGTTTGGATTGGTTTAGGTGGACTGAACTCTATTGCTTATATTGGATCTAAAGCAATTATCCTATAATTCTAATGTTTTTTGTATAGGAAATCGGTTTTATGTTTTTTTGAAAGTAACGGTTAAAAATAATTTTGAAATGAAGGGATGCTTTAATGTTTTGAAGGTTTTTGTTGTTTTGTCCAAACTCGGAGGGATGATGGGTTTTTTACTTGTTCAATTTCACGAAAGTTTGGGTTGTTTCACTTAAAGTAATTTGTTTTTTGATAATTGAACAAACATGCTAATGACAAAACTCGGTTTTGGAATATTTTCTTCTTATGTCAGTGCTTCTTATGTTATTTTTAAAAAATCAAAGCATGTGTTTGAAAGAATTGTTTCTGAATAATTAATATCTTATTATACGAATTTATTTTTACTGAATTTCAATGCCATTTCCATGAAAATAATTAGGTTCTTGTTGATTGAATATTTGATTGTATGCACTGGATCAAAGAAGTGATCAAAGTGAATCTGGTTTTGTCATGCTCAACTCGAGGATTAGAATGTGATACCTTTGTTTGAATGGTTTCCTTAGGTCGTATATTTTTGATTTGTAGGCATTGATGCCTGTTCTTGAATTTTTTTACCTGGCTTAGTTGTTCTGTATGCATTTCAGTGGTTGCTTAACTAATTCCCAATCCTTCTGATTCAAAACAGCTGAGGACATGGCTACAGTTTTTTGTGATTTTACATATGTTTTAAAAAATTTGACATGGATGCAACACCTGTTTTGAAACAATGGTGCATCATATCCTAATCCTACACCCTGCAGTACATGCTTCAGTTGAACAGAGCTTATCTCTCGTGCTTAACTGCTAAGGCTGAATATGCCCATGTTCGCATACACCTGGACATGCATATATGCATGTATATGCAGCTTCACAGATTGATCAGTTTGGCCACATATATTTATATCTACACACACAGACATATTTGTTACAAATAGTGCAATCTCATCATGTTATGCTGACCGTTGGTTATGGTTAATCATTCCCAACACTCAAACCTTTTTTTTTTTTTGGGGTGGGGGGCTTCATTTAATCTATAAATCATCACTTGATTGGTAGAATAACTCTTGCCCTTTGAATCTCAGTGTAGTAAACAATTTGTGTTCATTGATGTTGGACTTTCTTGTATACCATTTTTAGTCTAACTAGTTAGGATTTGGGAAAAGTGCAAACTTCTCTCGCATGACATTTGTCTTTTCAAAGTCAAATGGTCAAAGTACCTGATGTGTTGGTATTCTTGCAGTTTCAGTACACTCCTCAACATTTGGTGAGGTTATTACAGATTATTGTTGATGGTAGTCGTGACATATCTGTGCGTCAAGTTGCTAGTATTCATTTTAAAAATTTTGTGGGAAAAAACTGGGCGCCTAACGAGCCTGGTATGTTCATAATCTTTCTGATACTTTTATTTCTATGAATGAAAATTTATTTTAAATTGGATACCTTAAAGAGAAGGAGTTTGTTGCAGGTGATCAGCAGAAAATTTCCCAAACGGATAAGAGTATGGTCAGAGAGAATTTGCTTCCGTTTATTGCTCAAGTTCCTCCTTTGCTGAGGTATAATTTCATATGTTTGTTACATATCTAATGGTAGAAGAGTGCTCAAGACGTTTTTGGTGATGTCTTTATGGGGCTGCATTTTCATTGGCTGGGGTACTGTTAATGGTCAATGCTCTATTTTTCCTAGCCTATTTGATTGTTGGAGAACTTCTATTCTCTAGTTAAGAGTATCAGATGTGGTTTTTCTTCCCAAACCTTCTCATGGGCATGTTTTTCTTCATATATCAATAATGGCAGTTACTGCAAGTTACATGTTGAGTGATCTAGAATTTCAATTTTTTTTGTTCTCTGTTGGAACTCAGGTTTCTTTTGGTTGTGTGTACATTCAAATCACTGGTTTATCTGTTAATTCTTCATTGTAGATTTTGTCATTAGCTTCCAACATGTTTATTTCTTGTATTTCTTTCTGTATTTCACTTCTTGTTATCATCCTGAAGATCTGGTATCTCGTTACTATTGATGAGATGTTATTATGGTTGATGAAATATTGATATCTCCAAAACTGCATATTATTCGGTATGGTGGTTTTTTTCCTTTTGTTTTCTGTCTCTTCCAGTTTTGGTTTGATTTGCATTTTTATTATGGTTGATGACAACTTGATTTCTCCAAAACTGCATATTATTCTGTATGGTGTTTTTTTTCCCTTCTGTTTTCTGTCTCTTCCAGTTTTGGTTTGATTTTGATGATTATATTCTATGCATTGGATGGTTACTGTTTGATGTCTATCTACAGGGTTCAATTAGGAGAGTGCCTTAAGACAATAATTCATGCTGATTATCCTGAGCAATGGCCTAACCTCCTCCCCTGGGTGAAGCACAACTTACAGTTACAGGATCAACAAGTTTATGGAGCTTTATTTGTGTTGAGAATTCTTTCACGAAAATATGAGTAAGTATATTTTAGTGGGACTAGATTTAGGGTTCCTCTTCCAAACAAATGATCACAACAGAAAATAAAACAGACTTTACCCATCAAGGGAAAAAAAGAGACTTTTAATACCTTGCATCGTGATGTAATGTCTAATGGCATAGTCTATTTGCATTGCATTCTACTGTTTTTTGCTGTCAAATTGATGTTTTGTTTGATTTTAAGTTAAATATGGGGGAATATTTATGATTTATGCCTTGATTGTTAATGTTTTAAGTTGAAATAATTGGTCCTGATTATTGTCCTGTACTCTGATGGGGTTTCCTGGTCCTGATTACTTATCTGAGTTTCTTATCTTCACATTTCCTTTTTGAAGGTTCAAGTCTGACGAGGAGCGAACTCCTGTTTATCTAATTGTTGAAGAGACATTTCCTCCTTTGCTTATTATATTTTCCAGACTTGTTCAATACGTTAACCCTCCACTGGAAGTTGCAGACTTGCTGAAACTTATATGCAAAATATTCTGGTCATCAATATATGTATGCTTTCTATCCCTGTGTTTCTTACTGATTTTGACCATCATAAAGCTTTATCAGTTTACCATAAGAAAAGAAAACAAAAGCTGCATCGGATTCAACTCATGATTGAAATCTCTTTGGTGGGACTCTTGCAGCTTGAGATTCCTAAGCAATTGTTTGATCCCAATGTCTTTAATGCATGGATGGCACTCTTCTTGAATATATTGGAAAGGCCAGTTCCAATAGAGGGTCAGCCAACTGATCCTGAGCAGAGGAAGTCATGGGGATGGTGGAAAGTAAAGAAATGGACTGTTCACATAATGAATCGTTTGTACACACGGTAAGTGGTGGACAATGTTGTTTGTTGCATTGTTCTTAAATTGTTCTGCTAAATTAATGACTCTCTTATCACATTTTTCATAGGTTTGGTGATTTTAAGCTTTTAAAAGCAGAGAACAAGGCTTTTGCTCAAATGTTTCAGAAACATTATGCTGGTAAAATACTGGAATGCCATTTGAACTTGTTGGATGTTATTCGAAGGGGTGGATATTTACCTGATCGGGTTACGAACCTTGTTCTTCAGTATTTGAGCAGCAGGTTCGTCTTACCTTTGCATGAAGTTTCTATTGGCTGTAGTGTCTGTTTCTTAGTACACAATTTGAATGGATACTGCATTTCTGGATTATGGATTGATAACGAATTATTAGGTCGTAGGTAGTATTTTTGGATGAGATTTTCTTTTACCTTCATCTCAGATAAAACTGTACTTTTATTATTCTTCATTTAAATATTTTGTTTGTCTTTATTTTTTTTTGAGAACTATTTTGGTTGTCTTCATTTAACTGGCTTTTCTCTAATGTAACACTTTTACTAAGCTGTTGTATGTAAAGACATCTTTAGCTCTTTAGGTTTCTCATTTATCGAATTCACAAATTCCATGTGGCCTGCGTCAAAGTACCTTAGGATTATACTTGTTCATTTATTTCACTTGTCTTTAATGGGCTGGTCCTGTGTTATTTCTGCTACCTCACTCAAGATTGAGGTTTTATGGGCCCTAGTAGTCAATACTTAGGAAGTTGGTGCTTAGCTTGTTGATTTTTAGGAAATGATGGTATGCATCATTATGTGCAGTTGATATCATTATGTGCAGTTGATTCTGATTGTGATAAATTTTAGGGAGCCTTAGTGATGTATATAAATTTATAGCAAAGAAGTGTGGCAAAGAAGAAGGATTCAACCATACAAACATCCCAAAGCAATCCAACGGAGGCTTTAAAACAAGAGCGAGAACTTTTCTATGGACAAGTCCTTGAAGGGTGGACGTCTTGTATTTTCTTTCTTCAAAGAAGAATCTCAATTTTGTTCATAAAAAATAAATCTCCACCCCCCAATGGGAGGTCCACTTTATACATAAAAGAATTTATTAAAAATAAGAGAAAATAATAGCCCCCTCTTTAATAGTCCCCTCTTTTCTACTCCTATTTGACTTGAAGTTAACTTAAAATACCTCTTTTTCCTATTATTAAGTAAACGTCAGCTCTAGATCTACAAAATCTAGGAAATTTTCTCCTCTATCTAGTCCATTTATTCTCTATCCAAAGCTTCTTTCTAGGGTTCCATCTGATTTTCATCTCTCTCCTTGTTCTTTTATTCACTTCTCACCCGAAATCCGACAAAACTGGAACCTTCGTTGTTCTCCTATTTGAATAGAAGCCTGAACTTTACTTAAGTTTTATGGGACTACTTTACTTAAGTACATGATAGACTAAACGCATTTTTGCCGTGTCACCTTGTGTGGGTGACTTCGGGCTATCACATCCATGTAATCATTCTCCCCAATAATGCAATATTAACTTTCTCAAAAAAAAAAAAAGTTTTATGAGACTACTCTTTAAGAATTTAAATAATGAACCTAAATATTTTCCTTACTGCCTGTAAAAAATCTACAAAACTAAAAATCTTGTAATAAGTCTTAAAGCTAAAAAAATGCAATCGTTACCCTCCAATATTAATTGTCCATTTAGTTATTCTTGTATTAGACTCATGGTCAGAGAATACTCGTCTTCCAATTTTAAAGTGAAATTGCATACTCATATTTGAGTTTTAGAGTGGAATAAGATACTTATCCTCGAGTTTTGAAGTGAAATAAGGTGAATCTTGTTCTAAACTCACTGTCTTCCTCAATCCAAACATTTTACATTAAATTGGTGCTTTGCAATCAACTGATAAGCATGTAAATGTTTGAGAACACCTTGAGGTAAGTGTCATTCGATGGAGTGATCATGACATATATGCTCGACTCAGCTGGATTTGCCTTGGGTCAGCTGCATAAACGTGCTGAAATTGCCTTTTCAGTCACACAATCTTGTTGGAATTGCCTTGGTTTGGCCCAAGAACAGACCTAGGGAGCATCTTTGAGATGACCATGGGATTTGATGGCTGAACCAGCAATTTCACCTCTTGATTTTTCTTGGAGTCCATCTGTTTCTTCATCGAAGATTGAACATCCACGAAATCTTGTTCCTTATCATAGGTTGCTTTACCCATGAAATCATGCAGTGGTGATTTCAATTGAAGTTCTGATCCTTCTTGTTTTGCACCTTTGACTGGTTCTTCTTCAAAGATCAGATCACCCATGAGATCAAAGTGTTTGTCAAGGGGAATGTCAAAACCCCTTGTTGGATTGTGAATCATCTCCCAACTCAGCATCCCGTTTGCAAATGGGTTGATTAGGTCGTAGTCAATGCAGGACTTGAATTTCTGGTGCCATCTGATCTACATATCTCCATGGCTCTGGATCAATGTTCGCAAAATCGAACCAAAACGGTTAACCAGTTTTGGGGCTGGGAGCGGTTTGAACCGGAACCGGACTAACTGAGGCGTTAACCGTTTTAACTGGTCGAGTAGTTTTTTCTTTCTTTTTTTTAAAAAAAGGTAGAAAACATCCAAAAAAATTAAAAAAAAAATTGAAAAAAAATAGAAAAACTTAGATTAAGTGTATACTATTATATTATATACATTTATCTTACAAAAAAAATTGAAACAACTTTTTATATAAATTAATATTTGAATACTATGAAGATATGCAAGACAATTTAGAATTTGACATTAATTCAATTAATGAAGTTACAAAGTCCAACTAATAATGCTAGTAGTAATGAGAGCGGCGAGGGGGGTCATGATATTGTTGTGTTTCACTATCAAGATTTACAGGGCGAAAAATCTGAGTAAGGCTTGGTCAAGTCTGTAATGCCGCAGTTGTGCCCCCTCGCCAGTCAGGAATATTTCTTGTGGTACGGCCTTGGTCAAAGTCTCCTAGCCTTGTCCAGCCTTCATGCTCTCCCCCACCCTGTTCTGTGTTAGCCCCACCTTGTGGTACCCTCTTGAATATGTATATATATATATATTATATAACCTTAAAGACAATCCTCACAAAAAAAAATATCAATTTTATTTTTCATTCAATAAACCCTAAAATCCCGAAAATCCCTAAAATCCCCAAAATCAACCTCCAAGTTTTTGTTTTTGTTCTAAAATTCATTTATTTATTTTATGCAATCAATAATCTCACACAAATATTGTTTATATATATTCTCATATTCATCACAAAAAGCATATTTTTATAAATATATATATTATATAACATTAAAAACAATCTTCACAAAAAAAATATCAATTTTATTTTTCAATCAATAAACCCTAAATTCCTGAAAATCCCAAAAATCCCCAAAACCCCCAAAATTGACCTCCAAATTTTTGTTTTTGTTCTAAAATTCGTTCATTTATTTTATACAATGAATAATCTCACACAAATATTGTGTATATATATTCTCATATTCATCACAAAATATATTTTTATAAATATATATATTATATAACATTAAAAACAAGAAAACCCTAAATTCCTAAAATCGAGCTCCAAATTTTTTTTTTGCTTTTCAAAAATCGTTCTTTTATTTATTGCAATAAATAATACTAGTTAAATATTGTCTGAAAAATCCTAAAAAAGCTGCAAAATCAAGAAAAAAATTTGAAAAAATTGGATTCGGGCTTACCTTGTCTGCTTCAATCTCAAAATTGATTCAATATTGATGGGTTTATAGAAGATTTGAAGGTATAGTACAATAATTGAGCCAAAAAAAACAAAAAAAGGCAGGAAAAAGCATGAAAAAGGTGCAAAAAATGGCGGATCACGGGTTCTGCCGAAATAACGGGCACTGCTACAAATAACGACCGTTATTTTTTGTGGCGCCGTTATTTTGTTATATCGCCTGATATAACGCCAAATCGAACCGGTTTTGTCAAAAAGTCGCCGGTTCGAGGCCAAATCGGCCGGTTTTTCAGCCGATTTTTTACAAGATGATGTGTTTTTTTACTAGTATACTAAAATCGGACCTAACCGGAATCGCCACCCCACCGATAGTTAGCTATCCGGCCAGTTCTGGTTTCGACCTGCCGGTTTTTCGAACACTGCTCTGGATCATGTCAATATGGGCTTGAGTGTGCCTTCCTCCTCTACCTTATCCTCTGGCTGCAGTGGTGGATCAACAAGCTTGCTCTGATACCACTTTGATGTAGTGAAGTTTAGAGGAAAGAAGAGTATAGAGAAAGGAGGAGAATTTTTTTTTTGATAAATGTTAACTTTTGTATTACTATAAATAGTTGGAGTACAGTTTTGGGTTAATCCGAGAGTACCCTCTAGACGGGACTCTCGGTAAAAAGTAGGTCAACAGACCCTGTACAAAAAATGGCCTTATAAGGTTGCCCCAATACAATAGGTTTACAATGAGTTTACAAAAAAAGGGCTTATAAGGTTACCCTTATACAATGAGATATTCTTCTAAGTGTATCCTATGTTGTCCAGAGCAAAAAAGGAGATGGACCGATCTTCTTCATAGGCCCTAGCCCCATCCTTTGCTAGGAGAGCGGCGAACTCGTTTGACATCATCGAGGTATGCATCCATAAGATGGCCATATGCCTGCAGATGTATGCAATCTCATCTAAAATCGAAGCAAGATACCATGGAGATGTAGATCTCCCGGTTGCCCATGTTATGATGTTATACGCATCACCCTCCACTATTAGGTTTTGCCCCCAAGGTTGATTGAAACTTTTTAGGCCCCTTAGAAGGGCCATTGATTCGACACACTGGGAATCTTGGAAACCAAGATATTCGGAGTAGGTAAAAAGGATATTGCGTTGGTGATCTCTAAAGACATCACTAGCTCTTGCATGGCCGGGGTTCCCCAAAGAACACCCATCGAAGTTAAGTTTAATGGCTCCGTCAGGGGGTGGCTTCCAGTTGCGTGATCTTTTTGCCTTCTGTAGTTGGTGGAATAGTATATTATCCCCTTGACTTAGGAAAGAATTCGCAGAGATACCCTTGAAGAGGTGTCGGTTAGAAGCCCAGAAGGTTACTAAGGATGTAACCTTATGAAAGAGTGTTGGGACTTGGCTAACTTGTCCTTGGAAAATTCTGGCATTTCTTTCTGTTCAGATCACCCAAATGGTTGCTGCCACTGCAGCCTTCCATTGGGTTCTTCCAGCCTTTGGCCATTGAAATTCATAATCTGATGTTATTAGGTCCTTGACCGTC